TAGTTTATTATTATTATTGTTATTATTACTACTATTATTATTAAAGCTTAATAATTGCTATGTCAAATTAAGGTCAGTTGTGCGATTCGTCGAGTTCATCATTAAAACAAAATTCGTAAAATGTAATTCGCCTCATTTCCTTTTTCATCTAATCGCGAAATCTGAGTCGCGCGAAATATGCGCGTTTCATTTTCGCATAATTAAGTTCTAGTCCTAAGTTCATTCAAAACGTCCTTTGTTTCTGATTGGCTGAAATCCCCCGGCAGAACGACGTCGAAACATAAAGGAAAACATAAGTACAGGGAACACAGGGCAAAAAGGCAGTTGATTTTGCCAGCTAGGTGAAGTGGAAAGAGCCCAAAAAGTGCCTTAAAACATAGCACGAATAGTACAAATACCAGTCAAGAGAGGGCAAGTGTTATTTGAAGAATGTCTGTGAAAATAAACATCCTCTCGTAATCTGAAAGGAACTAGGAACAGGCAAAGGTTTTGAAGAAGGGAATATTACATCAAGGTAAACATGAAGCATGAAAGCCATATCAAGGTGAGCAGGTTTTAAAATTACAATTTTTTTCGGATAAATAATAAAGAAATTACTGGATTCGTCTTTTGTGTGATTTGAAGAATTATGCAGATCCCGGAATGTGTTATCTTCCTCGGCCTTATTGAATGCTGTTTGTATTAACAAGAAAGGGGGAACCACTTTTAATCATGTGCTGAATACACATATTTAGGCAGGTGAACTCTTTGGTCTTTCTTACGAGCTGTTTTTATAGAATATATTTTAAAATCAATTCCAAAAGTCTTTGCAATTTGTCTTTTTCTCAGTAATCTTACAAAAGTCCTTCACTTGGCGTCTACACTGTCAGTCCTTACCCCCAATGTGTTTCATTCCTAATCTCCATGTTAACAGACACTCGTTATATTTGTTATATAACTGTACTGTGTCTGATAAGTGGCGAAACAATCAAATAATGATTCTTTTCCTGTAAATGTAGTACCACGTTTATCATATTGCCCAATTATCTCTCACCTTGTGTTTTCTCTCCATTTCCTTCATCGTCTTGTGCAGGTTTTGAAATGTTGGCCGATCATTTGGTTCTTCTTCCCAGCATTTCAGCATGACCTGGTACCTGGGTCATTTTAACAGAGGCCAAAGATTTTTTAATGTTAAGTTAAGAAACAGATACGGAGTGGATAATTTCCACCTTCGTCATGTCGTGCCTATCCTTAGGTAAAAAGCCTTAAGGGGTTCATTTGGAAGTGGAAAGCCCGGAAAATTAAACAGAAGCGCGCCATAAGTTAGTGCCCACATGGAAGGGGATTGCTTGAGGCAATACCCCTTGCATGAGTAGCCTCTTTTGCTAGAGATACAGTTGCAAATACTTAAAAACGGTGATAATCAAAACTGAAAATCCTTAATGGCTAAGTTTTTATGTGATACAATAAAATGAGCTTTTACTCACAGTTTCTCATCGACATGTTTTGGTTTCGGCATTCTGTATCCTTTTTGAAGTCTTTCCGCGATTTGACGAGGTTTTATACCTGGATATGGAGAACCACCTATAGAATAACATTCATTGATTGGAGAAAAGGAGCGATACAAATGTATTATGTAATTAATGACTTGAGCAGAACTTAGGTTATTAAACTGTTTTTAAAACAATATTGTGTATGTTTCTGTTTTAATCTACGCTTACCTACGGTGAGTATTTCGTAAAGGAGGATACCATAACTCCAACTGCAAAAGGAATGAGAGATGTGAACATTTGTACTTTAAGTAAAATGTACAAGGCAGTTTTAAATGCCATATAATGTTCACTACTCACACGTCACTTTGTGTTGTGTACACTCCATACAACAAAGCCTCATAAGCAGTCCACTTTACAGGCAAGCGACCCTTGAGAGTTAAAAAAAATGATTTTAAACGAAATAAGGTGTTCTCTTCAAAGAGAAGTTGTAGGTTACACCATTTGATTACCTATCGGGTCACAAGTAACGCCCACAATCGCGTTTTTGTTGTTGTTGTTGTTACCTGCTTATCGTATCGAGAACTTGACGTACAAAAAAGTTTGGAGCATAAATCTGAAGTTCAAAACTTTTCTAATTTTTCTGTTAGAATCATTCTTGATGTGCATTTTCGTGTGTTTAGCTTTTCTAAAGCGTCGTCTTTTAATGCCCTGACATCTTTGTTCATAACCTTTTAAACCTTGGAGACGTGCGGAACGTTGCCACGACAAATTTTCTAATTTCACATATGAAATTATAAATTAGTTTGGTAATAGTATGATTTGTAGTGATATTTGGCATAAATACCACGAGTGATATTTCGAAATTGTTATACGTAATTTCACGAGCTGTTAGGCGAGTGAAATTTGAGACAATTTTGAAATATCACGAGTGGTATTTATGCCAAATATCCGCTACAAATCATGCTATTATTTGTTTATACTACTACCCTCAAACGTTTTGTAATTTTCGTAAGTTGGTATTTCAAATCAAGTTGAAATACCACTGTTCTAAGCCAATCAAATTGCAGAAATTTCTCATGTAGTAGTATAAACGCTGAAATTTAAGCCAAAATTAAGGAGTAATGGCCCTCATGATTTTATAAAAATAAACATAAATATCGTTATCATTGGTTTAACATCCAAAGCAAATTGACTTCTTTAATTTGTTATTACAAATTACTAAGCAATCTTCGTCACTTAAGAATTGCTTACCCATCGATAGAGCAAGCTGCTATTATTTTTTTATTTTCTGATAATTAGATAAAATTAAAATTAAGCTTTCATTTTTCTGATAATTAGATAGCTTTAGAATTTGATGTCTTGCATTTTACATATGTTGGTTTTTATCCGCTGGGTATTAATTTCCTGTTGTAATTGGTATATTCGTTTATCAGGAATAAAGACCACGTTCGCTTGCCGGGGATGTTCATAAATAAATAGAAGAACCTTATGAATAAGAGAAACTCATTTGCCTTTTTATCAGAGTATCGATTCCGAAAAGTTTAAAAAGTCCCAGTTTTATACCCACCCGACTTTTTTTGGTGTAAATTTCATCCTGCTGCACATCCCTTGCCATTCCAAAATCTGTCACCTTACATTTCTCTCCTTCACCAACTAGAACATTTCTTGCCGCCAAATCACGATGGATTACCTACAAGAAAAGATAAGACTTGTTATTCCTTTATTAGGCTATATCGAAAGTTTAACATATGATTTGTCCTTTTCCAGGCAAAAACATTTGTCAAATCTTTTGTCGTGATTTTATGAAAAGACCTGTGTCCTTCTTCGACACTAATAGAATTTGAATTGAAATATCAAGATATAATAATATCTGCACGCAGACTGAGGCTCAGGGAATACCATACCCCAGAGAACATAGATGAAATAACCGACAATCCCACCTACCAACCCACAATAGTTGAAAAGCTGAACCACAGGGAGCAAAAGACATACTGTAGACCCTCACGAGAACCATATTTGAATACATATATTGAGAAGCTAAGACAAGAAATCACCGACAGAACAGTACGTAATCGTCGTTTTCAACGCAACAATCTTAGTAAGCGTGAGCGATTAGCTTTGGATAGACTAAGTAATAATAGAGACATAATTATAAAACCCGCAGACAAGGGCGGAGCTACAGTTATTCTCAACACAACCGACTACCTACAGGAGGCGAAACGCCAACTAGATAATGACACGTATTACAAGAGGATAGAAGAAGATTGCACTTCGGGACATGAACAAACGATTAACCATTGCATAGACGATCTCGTGAAGAACGGAGAAATACAACACGACGTAGCAAAACTTTTAAAACCTGCGCAATCTAGAACCCCAATATTCTACATGCTCCCCAAAATACATAAAATCAATCACCCTGGCAGACCAGTTATCTCCTCCGTTAACAGCCACACGGAGAAGATATCAGCTTATGTGGATGAATTCTTAAGACCTATAGCAGAGCGATTACCTTCCTATATTCGCGACACGACAGACTTTATTCAACGAATAAAAGTCTTGGGAAAACTACCCGTAGAATGTTATTTAGTAACATTAGATGTTTCAAGCTTATATACAAATATTGATATTGATGAAGGACTTACTGTCGTTCAGGAGGAACTTATAAAAACGAACCGGGTCAAGCCATCGCCTCAAACTTTGACATGCCTTCTTGAAAAGGTTTTGAGATTGAACAACTTCACTTTCAATGACGAACATTTTATCCAGATCAAGGGGACAGCAATGGGAACCAGAGTTGCACCCAACTTCGCAAATGTCTATATGGGAAGATTCGAAGAAAACTTTGTATACAAAACAGAGTGGTCCAACTACGTTATAATCT